TGGCAACAAGTCATATTCTGGTTATATGTATCCTATGTGCACCCAGTGTATAGTTTGCCTTTCCAACTTCTTCTGCTCTGCTTGATGCACAGAAATTGTTATCTTTAATGTTACTGAATCTGCCTATCTTCTCTGTTGCTTGGCACTTTTTTTTTGTATCTGTGTAAGGAATCCTTCCCTACCTAAAGTCATGGGATTACTTTTCCTTATATTCTCTCTCAAATGTATAATAGATTTGCTTTTTTAAATTTAAGCTTCTCATCCATTTGGAGATTTTGTATTCATGCCATTTGTATTTGTGGTAATTTCATATGTTTAAAATTTGTGTTTATATTTTCTAACTTTTCTTGATGAATCTATGTTGTTCTTAAGATAACACATTAAAATTTTCAAAAGTTCAGTTGGATAAGTAAAAATGTTTACCTCGCACAATATTTTCAATCCCTTTGGATTGATTCTGCCTATTATTTTGACTTACCAGAATCTGGTAAGTGGTTGTGTAGTGGAGGGGAGACCACAGGGTAGCCCATTTCTACATGAGGGCAGTCTGAGGTGGAATGCAGGTTGGGAAGGAAGAGGAGTAAGATAGTATTCTGTATAGGCATTCAGTACCAACCTATATGGCTCACTTCCATTTGCAAAGCACCTTGACTGACATCTTGCTTGATTCTCACAGCAATCCCATCAGACAGCAGAGTTTAGATGAGGAATCCAAGGTTCAAAGACATCTGATTCTTACCCAAGCTTTGTTAAGTGTGCATGCTCCTGCTGCAGTACTTGTAACTAATTGCTCTGCCTCTTATCCTTTTCTAACTCCTCTTCTTCTTCTTCTCCTTCTCCTTCTTCTTCTTCTTCGAAGGGCTTTCACTGGTTAATCTAGTTTGTCTGCAACCTTATGATCCTCCCACCTCAGCCTCTCAAATAGCTGGGATTCCAATTGTACGCCATTATACTGGGCTTCATCCTGTGTTCTTTTCAGTAAACATTTCTCTGAGAGGCAGGTATTTGAAGGATGACTTTTTGACATTGAAGAAGTGATGTAGTGTTAACTTGGAGTAATAAGCTGTGCTTTGTGCTTAGATAGTTAGTGGCTATAAGTTGCCCACAGTCTCTCTCCATCATGACAAACTCCCAAACACTTCTCTGTAGTATCCAATCTCAGGAAATGAAGTATTGTTGCTATATGAATTAATGCATGCCTCGTAATGTTTTATTTTCTCTCATTTAGAAGCTTGACTAAGCTTTGACATTTGCTTCTTTTTAAAGCAGTTGCCCAAATGAAATCATCTTGGTGTTTGTATTTGCTTCTTCCATGACTTTAACAGGCAGCCTTAGAAACAAAAGACCCATTCTTTACTTCCTTGGCACAATCTGCATCATTTTTGAACATAAGAAAGGAAAAAGATGAAGACGATTTTCCTTTGCTCAAATATCAATGGCATTGTCTAAGTTCTCTAGGCTAAATTAGGTGGAAAAAATAAATCTAAAGTCATTTTGAAAGTATGCAACTTTCTCCCAATTCTAAATCAGAGATCAACAAACTTTCTGTAAAAGCCAAGGTGGTAAATATTGTGGGCTTTATGATTTTAATGACAACTACTCAATTCCACCATCATAGTTTGAAAGCAGCTATAGGCAAAGCATAAACCAATACGCATTGCATCATGCCAAAAAAGTTTTATTTACAAGAACAAACAGCAAATGTGGTCCCAGACCAGAGTTTCCTGACCCCTATTTTGGATTATTTCAGCGTTGTCTACCAGGAATCTAATTCTTTAACTAAGTGATTTCTAATCAATTATATATTTCAGAGCCTCTTCCTATTATCAAAGCTTCTAGTTGGTTTTTATTTTCTGCAAAAGTAAAGTATGATAATTGCAAAGATGATGACAATTCACTACATTCTAAGCTCATTAAGAGTCAAAGGGAAGTCCGGCATTATAAGGCACCTATTAACCTCTTTCTTTCCAAGATTAGGGTTGCTGTGAGCTATAAACTTACTTGGTTCAGGCACATATTAATCTCTAACCTCTTACTGTGTTTTAAACCTCTTCAACGATGATAGAAGACAGACAGGTTTGTAAATTGTCCAATCAGCATTTTATTCCATTATGGTCATCAGAACCACAGATCTGAAAAGTATCTTTACTTTTATCATTTAATTCCTTTAGAGGGCAAACAGATGTGAAAAACATTCAATGACTGAGTTGAAAATAAGACCTATTTTTTGCAGCTATTTAGTCACTTTTTCCCATTATGTCTCAGTTTACCCATGTCCCTTTTGGGAATTGTAATTCCTTTTTGTATCAGACTTTTGTGGCACCAGAACAACCAAAGCAATTCTGAGCCAAAAGAACAAGAGGAGGCATCACAATACCTGATATCAAAATATAATATAGAGTCATTGTAACAAAAACAGCATGATATTGACATTAAAAAATGATACATAGACCAAAGAACAGAATAGAGGATCAGGAATAAACCCATGCATCTGTAGTCATCTGATTTTCAACAAAGAAACCAAAAACATACATTGGGAAAAAGACAATCTCTTTAACATATGGTTGAAGAGGGAAAACTGAAAATCCACCTGTAAAAGATTGAGACTATATTTCTCTCACCCTGTAAAAGAGTCAACTCAAAATAATCAAAGACTTTAATATAAGACCTGAAACTTTGACACTGCTAGAGGAAAACAGAGGAAGCACTTAAAGATATTGGTACTGAAAAGCACTCTAGTAGCTCAGAAAGTAATAATAAGAACTGAAAAAAATGAGATGGCATCAAATTATAAAGCTTTTGCATAGGAAAAGAAACAATCAACAGTGAAAAGACAGTCTATAAATGGGAGAAAATCTTTGCCAGCTAGTGACCTGACAGGATTAATATCCAGAATATATTTTTTAAAAATTCAACACCAAAAGAACAAGTAACCCAATCAATAAATAGGCAAATGAGCCTAACAGACACTTCTCAGAGGAAGAAAGCACAGATGACAAATAAATACATGGGAAAAATACTCAACATCAGGGAAATGCAAATAAAAACCATACTGAGATTCCATCTCACCCCATTATCAAAACACAAAAGTGACAAATGCTGGTGAGGATTCCAGGGAAAAGGAACTCCTACACTTGGTGGGAATGTAAATTAGTATAGTCATCATGGAAACAGCATGGAAGTTCCTCAAAAAACTAAAAATAGAGCTATTATATGATCCAGCTACACCATTCTTGGGTATATATCCAAGGAAATAGAAGTCAGCATACAAAAGATTCCTGCATACCCATGTTTAGAGTGGCCCTGTTCATAATTTACCAAGTTATGGAATCAGCTTAGATGTCAATCAATGGATGAATGGACAAATAAAATGTGGTATATATGCACAATGGAGGAATATTATTTAACTATAAAAAAGAATGGAATTCTGTTATTTGCAGGAAAATAGGTGGAAGTAGAGATCATCATGTTAAGTAAAATGAGCCAGTCTCAGACAAGTATCACATGTTTTCTCTCATATATTGAGATTGGAAAGAAAAGAAAGACAACATGAGAGCAGAAGGTGGCCTTCTGGCAAGGGAAAGGAGATCAGGGGAGGAGAAACAGGGGTAAGAAAGGGTAGTAAGGAGGGTGGATCAAAGCATGTTATATACATATAGAGAAATGTCACAATGAAACCCGCTGATTTGCACAATTAAAGTGCACTAATAATTATGATAATAATAAAAAGATTCTGAGATGAAGGGCAACATAGGAGGAATTGATTCTTTCATTAAGAATTTTGTACATAGAATCTTCCCATGAAAGAAAATGGTCTTAGAAAATATTTTGGAGAATATTTTTAAATGCTTGTCTTTCTGTTTGCTGAGAAATATCTAGGGACACATTTTTATATGCAAGATTCTTATCCTAAGAAGCTGAAAGAATATTTTCCCACTGCCACATTTACTTATAACATTTAAATTAGCATTTTTTATATAAAAGTAATATAGCTTTATAGAAGGAAATTTGAGAAATGTAGAAAAACATAAACAAAAAAATTAAAATCACTCAAATACAACTGCTTAGAAAATGAACTGTTGCTAACATTTTAGTGACCATTTTCTGACATTTCTCTATGCATTTGTGTCCATGTAGATTAGCTATAAAATTTTCACATGCATCAGATGATATACAAACCATTTTAATAACCTGTCTTTTTATTGAAGAATATAAAATGGATATGTTTCTGGGTTGATAAGTAAGGACCGACATTTTAATGGCTATATGACATTCTACAGTATGATGTACTTAGGGTAACCTGCTTAAACAGTTCCCAAGTGGTTAATTTAAGTGCTTTGTACTTTCCCTTTATTATAGAGCATGCCAATGTAAACATTCTTGTGTGTTTCTTCTTGTCCCTGCCAGAGCATTGCTTCAAGATAAGTTTGCAGAATTTAATATTTGCATATTTACCATATGTATATAATTTTGATACAGAGAAGTGTATGCCCAAATCATATTCTCTCCTACAGTAAATGAGAATATTTTGCATTCTCACCAATAGTGGGAAATTTCTCAGCAGATTAGTGATTCAGGATCTCAGCATCCTTTATGGTTGCTATTGTTGTTTTGTAAGTATTTTATATTTTTTAAACTAACACGTGCATATATATCAGAGACTATGTTTGGTGTTTTTATGAAAATTAACTAATTCGATAACCTAATGAAGTGGGCACTATTATCATCCTTAAATTACCCACAAGGAAACTGTTGTGTGATTTGAAGGTCATGTGTCTACTAAGTGGGGGAATCAGTAAGTGAACCTTGCTGGTGATCCCACAGTCCATCTTCCTGACCATAATGGCCAGCTGCCAAGAGGAGAAAAAACTCAGCTGTCAAGCAAACAAGCCTAAACACCAGAGTTCATAGAGTCATATCCTGACCTCCATGCCACAGTTATTTTTAGCATTTTCTATTTTAATTATTTGAAAAATAATATTGTTGATTTTTTTTTTTAGGATGCATCAATCTCAGAAGAAATCTAAAGAAGCTTTGCCCTACTATAAAGAGGCTTTGGAATATACTGAGATCAGCAAAGGTGAACAAAGTCATGAGTATGTATCAGTCTTGAGGGAATTAGCTGCTGTAGAGCAAGCCCTGGGACTGCACGATGTGGCCATCAATCATTTCTTACAGGTAAGGTGTGATGTACTGGCCACTAGAGCCGCATTAGACCCAAAGTTTTTCATAATCACAAGTGGTTACAACAGCCCTGAAAGTGCCTGACTTTGTGGTTTGTTCTGGTTAAGCAGAACACTTGGCCTAGAGTAGATGTTCAGCAAAGATTTTCATATTAGGTGGCCAAGCAGGTGGGTGCTCTGTACTGTCCCCACTGCTAGTTGCACATCTGCCAGCAGCCTGAGGTGGGTTTTCTCAAGTTATGTGCAAAATTTAAGTCCTGTTTCCAACATGAAGTTTCTTTATCCTTTGGTATTTATTTAGAGCTCATATTAGTAAACTGACTAGGGAGTCTTTTCTTAAATGACATTCTAAAAACTTTACCTGGAGCCACTTAGAGTTGTATCAGTTAGCTAGTATTCTACTTTGTCACCATAAGATCCTACAGTGAGTATCTCAGAGTACTATGGAGAAAAAGAACCAGTAGGATCCCTTTCTTTCTCAATATATATATTTAGAAAGAGAATTATTTTAAGTAATTGGCTCATGTGCTTTTGGGATTGGCAAGAAATCCACAGGACAGGCCAGCAGGCTGGAAACTTGGGCATGATTTCTCTGTTACAGTCACAGACAGCCTGGAAATGTGGGCAGGATTTCTATGTTACAATCCTAAAGCTGAATTCCTTCTGCTCTAAGAAATTTCAGGATTTTTGTCATTGTTGCTATTCTTTAGGTCTTCAACTGAATGGATGAGGTCCACTTATATGAGTGAGAGCCACTTCCTTTACTTAAAAGTAAGTGATTGCAAATGTCAATCACATCTACAAAACATAGTCACAGCAACATCTGGACTGGTGTTTGACCAAACAACTGGGCCCCATAACCTAGCCAAGTTGATACCTAACATCAATCATGTCTTTATAGCATAGCATGGTTGAAGAGCACTTTTTAAAATTTTTCTGAGAATGCAAAATATAGACTAACCCATGCCTGTTATTTCAAAGAAGATATAATGACATGGTACTGAGAATACATTATTGCTATGTCTTTTTAAATTTGTCTGACAATTTATACTCCCACTCACAGTGTGTTAGAGTGCCCCATTCTTTCACTTTATCTGGATCATCTCTTTAATCATTATTACCACTTTGTAACATATCATTTCCAGCTTATAGAGAAGGAAGATAGGAATTAGAAAGGTTGAGTGATATGCCCAGGAGGATGCAGCCAATAAATGGCATAGCCCAGATTTAAAACTGGTAATTTTTTTAAAGCAAGATTCTCCTGGCTGATGTGTAGAGAATAGATTTGAAAGGTTGTGCCAAGAGTGGAATTGGAGAGATCAGTCGGGAGGCTACTGAAATAGTGAAAGCGAAAAATGACAGTGGTGTGGAGTAGGACGAAGGTAACGGGGATGACAAATTGAAGAAATATTTAGAAGTCATAATTGATACAACATAGAGATTATATATGTGTGTGGCAGAGTGAGAAGTCTGGGATGGCTCCCAGATTCCTGTGTGGATGTTTGGGCCATTTACAGCGGAGGAATAGGGGTGACCATGTAATGCAGAGATGGGGAGCTCTGTTTAGGATGGTGAGTCAGAGAGGCCTGTGAGGCATACGAGTGGAGTGACAGCCGGCAACTAGGTAACCAGGCTGCAGCTCAGGAAGACGTTCACTTCCATACAGAGAGGTCATGATCACCTAGGCAGAGGGAGGAGGAAGGGAGGAGGAGGGAGCCAGAACAGAAAACTTCTGACTGATGACAGAATCTTGAGGAACTTCCATAGTTATTGGTCAAGTGAATGATAACCTTGGCAAAGAAATAAAAAGGAGAATGGAAAGAATTTGCCAGGAAAAAAAAAAACAGAAGAAAAAATAAAAATGAGAGAGATGCCTTTTGTCACTTCTTCTTGATATCTTTTACTATGGAAATAGAATTTGTTGGTAGGATAAATGGTATTATTTGTAAAGTGCTTAGCACAGTGCCAGATACATAGTGCTACATGTAGATTTTTAAGAATTTCTCTCTTTACCAAAGGTCTTTCCTTTTCTGTTCCCCACCCCTACACCTTTTTATTTTTTCTCTCCTTTCATTGGTCACTAGGGCAAAGATGAAGACAGTAAGCAGATTGTATAAAGTGAAATGTGAGGGATTAGACACTAAATGTAAATATCAATTTCAAAAAGTACTAATAGGTGGAGAGAACTAGCCCAGCAAGAGGGCAGAGCTCAGGAAAAGGCCTGAAAGTGAGACAAAGAGTAAACACTGAATATAACCCCGTGCCCTGGACCACAGGAAAGATGCAGGTCGTAGATGGCTATCATTCGGATAAGAGTTGAAAGTCATGTTAAGGAATTTGAGCTTCCTCCTCAGGATATTTGAAGGTTTTCAAGCAGGAAGATTGACACCATCAAATGATTAGTCTTGAAGGAATTTTCTAAGGAGAAAGTGGTGGTGGGTAAATAAGTAGGGTAATCACCCAGAGATGACCACCACAGGTCAGGTAGGAGATGATGATGGCCTGGATTCAGGTGGTATCCCTGGGAATGGAAACCTGTGGACAGATTTGAGAGACATGTGGGGAATAGAAATGACAGGCCTGGGGCATACGCAGATGTAGGGGTGTGAGGGAGGGGAGGAGTCCAGATTTCTGTTAGGTTTCCATTGCCTGCAGGTACCACAGTTTATCTATTCACCTACTAAAGGATATCTTGGTTACTTCCAAGTTTTGCCATTTATGAATAAAGCTACTATAAAAAATCCATATATGGGCTGTTACAAGGACATAAGTTTTCAACACCCGTGGGTAAATGCCATATGGTAAGAATTGTTTTAGAAGAAACTGCCAAACTATCTTCCAAAGCAGCTAAACCATTTTGCATTCCCACCAGCAATGAATGAGAATACCCATAGCTCCCCATCCTTGGAGTTGTCAGTATTCTGGACCATTTTATTGGTTTTAATTTGCATTTTCCTGATAACATGATCTGGAGTATCTTTTCATATGCTTATTTGCCATCTGTGTGTCTTCTTTGCTGAGGTGCTTGTTAAGGTTTTTGGCCCATTTTTAAGCAAGTTGCTTTTTTCTTGTTGTTGAATTTTTAGAGTTCTTTATATATTTTGGATAACAGTCCTTTTTCCAGAAGTATCTTTGCAAATATCCTCCTAGTCTGTGGCTTGTCTTTTTATTCTCTTGATATTGTCTTTCATAAAGCAGAAATTTTTAATTTCAATCAAGTCCAGCTTATAAATTCTTTCATGGATCATACTCTTGGTGTTATATCTTAAAAAGTCATCACAAACCCAAGAGCACCTATATTTTCTATAGTTTTCTATTTTACATTTAGGTCTGTGGTTCATTTCAAATTAATTTTTTTGTGACAAATTTAAACTGTATTTCTATATATATATTTTTTTCCCATGTGTGAATGTCTAGTTGTTCCAACACTGTTGAAAAGATGTCTTTTCTCCATTGTATTGTCTTTGGTGCTCTGTCAAAGGTCAATTGAGTATATTAATGTGGGTCTAGTCCTGAGCTTTCTCTTCTGTTCCATTGATTTATTTGTCTATTCTTTTGCCAACACCAGACTGAAGCTTTATAGTAAGTCTTAAAGTGCTGTAGTGCCAGACCTCTAATTTGTTGTTTTCCTCACTATTGAGTTGGCTATTTGGAGTCTTTTGCCTCTACATATAAACTTTAGAATCAGTTTATCAATATCCATAAAATAACTTTCCTAGATTTTGATTTGAATTTCATTGAATCTATACATCAATTTTAGAAGAATTAACATCTTAACAGTTTTCCTGTCTGTGAATATGGGATATGTCTCCATTTATTATTTTTTTATTTCTTTCATGAAGGTTGTAGTTTTGTAGTTTTCCTCATGTAGGTCTTGTGCACGTTTTATTAATTTTCATTTTGTAATAAAATTAAATTCTTAAGGAAATTCCATTATTTCATTTTGGAGGTACTAACTAAATGTTGTTGTGGGTTTTTGTTATTGTTATTATTGTCGTTTTTTGTGTGTGGTACCAGGATTGAACCCAAGAGCACTTAACCACTGAACCACATCCCCAGCCAAATATATGTGTGTATATATTATTAGAGACAGGGTCTCCCTAAGTTGCTTAGGGCCTTGCTAAGTTGCTGAGGCTATCTTTGAACTCATGATACTCCTGCCCCAGCCTCCTAGCCACTGGGATTATAGGCATGAGCCCCCACACCTGGCATTATTGTGTTTTTAATTTCAAATTCCATTTGTTCATTGCTGGCATATAAAAAGCAATTGACTTTTGTTTAGTTAACCTTGTATCCTGCAACTTGATATAATTGTTTATTAGTTCCAGGAGTATTTTTGTCAATTAATTTCAGATTTTCAACATAAACAAAGACAAACAAAGACAGTTTTACTTTTTTCTTTGCAATCTGTATAGCTTTTATTTCTTTTTCTTATCTGTTTGCATTATCCAAAGTTTCTAGTATGATGCTGAAAAGCCATGATGAGAGGAGACATCTTTGCCTGTTTCTGATCTTAGTGGGAAAGCTTTAAATTTCTTATCTTTAAATGTTATGTTAGCTATAGATTTTTATTATTATTATTATTATTTTATTATATAGGTTTTTTTTTTAGGTGGACATAAAATATCTTTATTTTATTTGTATGTGGTGCTGGGAATCGAACCCAGTGCCTTGCGCATGCTAGGCGAGCGCGCTACCACTTGAGCCACATCTCCAGCCCCAGCTATAGATTTTTTAAATAGATATTCTTTATCAAATTGAGGAAGTTCTCCTCTATTCCTAATTTACTGAGATTTTTTTTTTAAATCATGAATGGGTGTTGGGATTTGTCAAATGTTTATCTGCATCCAGTGATCATGTGATTTTTCTTCTTTAGCTTGTTGATGTAATGGATTATATAAATTGGTTTTCAAATGTTGTCCCCTAAATTTTTAATTACTAAATATAGATCAACACTTCAAGTCTTGGTTCTACCTTTGCTCTACCAATTTCTAA